AATTCAAAACAAAGTAACAAGAGACAAAGAAGGACATTACATAATGATAAAGGGGTCAATCCAACAAGAGGATATGACCATTATAAATACATATCCACCCAACACAGTAGTACTACAAATACTAACAATTAAAAGTGGAAATAGAATGTAATACATTCATTCTAGGAGACATCAACACTCCACTAACTCTGAAGGACATATCAACCAGACAGAAAATAAGTAAGGACACATAGGCACTGAACAACACATTAGAACAGATGGACCTAACAGACATCTACAGAACTCTATACCCAAAAGCAGCAGGATACACATTCTTCTCAAATGCACATGGAACATTTTCCAGAATAGACCACATACTAGGCCACAAAAAGAGCCTCAGTAAATTCAAAAAGATTGAAGTTGTACCAACCAGCTTCTCAAGAAGACCACAAAGGTATGAAACTAGAAATAAATTACACAAAGAATACAAAAAAGCCCACAAACACATGGAGGCTTAAGAACATGCTCCTAAATAACCAGTGGATCAATGACCAAATGAAAACAGATAAAGCAATATATGGAGACAATTGACAACAGTAAGTCAACACTGCAAAATCTGTGGGAGGCAGCAAAGGATGTGCTAAGAGGGAAATACATTGCAATTCAGGCCTACCTCAGGAAAGAAGAACAATCCCATATGAACAGTCTAAACTCAAAATTAATGAAACTAGAAAAAGAAGAACAAATGAGGCCCAAAGTTAGTAGAAGAAGGGACATAATATATATTAGAGCAGAAATAAATAAAATTGAAAAGAATAAAACAATAGAATCAATGAAAGCAGGAGCTAGTTCTTTGAGAAAATAAACAAAATAAATAAACCCCTAGCCAGATTTATCAAGAAAAAAAGATAGTCTACACAAACAATCAAAAATAAAAACAGAAAAATCACTACAGACACCACAGAAATACAAAGAATTATTAGAGAATACTATGAAGAAGTATACACTAACAAACTGGATAACCTACAAGAAATGGACAACTTTCTAGAAAACTACAACCTTCCACGGCTCACCCAGAAAGAAACAGGAAATCTGAATAGACCAATTACTAACAACAAAATTGAATTGGTAATCAAAAAACTACCTAAGAACAAAATCCCTGGACCAGATTGCTTCACTGCTGAATTTTATCAAACACTTATTAAAGACTTAATACCCATTCTCCTTAAAGTTTTCCAGAAACTAGAAGAGGAGAGAATACTTCCAAATTCATTCTATGAGGCCAGCATCACCATAATACCAAAACCAGGCAAAGACACCATAAAACAAGGAAATTACAGACCAATATCCCTGATGAACATAGATGCAAAAATACTCAACAAAATATTAGCAAACTGAATTCAAAAATACATCAAAAAGATCATCCATAATGATCAAGCAGGATTTATTCCAGGAATGCAAGGATGGTACAACATTCAAAAATCCATCAACAACAACAACAACAAAAATCCATTAACATCATCCACGATGTCAACAAAAAGAAGAACAGAAACCACATGAGCAGGTCCACAGATGCTGGGAAAGCATTTGACAAAATTCAACATTCATTCATGATAAAAATTCTCAACAAAATGGGTATAGAGGGCAAGTACCTCAACATAATAAAAGTCATATATGACAAGCCCACAGCCACCATTATACTTAACAGTGAGAGGCTGAAAGTCTTTCCTTTAAGATCAGGAATAAGACAAGGATGCCCACTCTCTCCACTTTTATTCAGCATAGCTCTGGAGGTCCTCACCACAGCAATCAGACAACACAAAGAAATAAAAGGCATCCAGATTGGTAAAGAAGAAGTTAAAACTGTCACTGTTTGCAGATGACATGATATTGTTCATAGAAAACCCTAAAGAATCCACTCCAAAACTACTAGAACTAAAACCTGAATTCAGCAATGTTGCAGGATACAAAATTAATACACAGAAATATGTTGCACTCCTATACACGAATGGTGAACAGAAAGCAGGAAAACAATTCCATTCACAATTGCATCAAAAAGAATAAAATACCTAGGAATAAACCTAATGAAGGAAATGAAACATGTACGCACTGAAAACTACAAGACACCCATGAGAGAAATTAAAGAAGATACCAATAAATGGAAACACGTCCATGCTAATGGATAGGAAGAATTAATATTGTCAAAATAGCCATCCTGCCTAAAGCAATCTACAGATTCAGTGGATTCCCCATCAAAATACCAACAGCATTCTTCAATGAACTAGAGAAAATAATTCTAAAATTCATATGGAACCTCCAAAGACCCCGAAAAACCAAAGCAATCCTGAGAAGAATAAAACTGGAGGGATTATGCTCCCCAACTTCAATCTCTACTACAAAGCCACAGTAATCAAGACAATTTGGTACTGGCACAAGAACAGACCCATAGACCAATGGCAAAGACAAGAGCTCAGATATAAACCCAAGCATATATGGTCAATTAATATACGATAAAGTAGCCATGGACATAAAATGGGAAAATGACAGACTCTTCAACAACTGGTGTTAGCAAAACTGGACAACTACATGCAAGAGAATGAAAATGGATTATTGTTTATAACCATACACAAAAGTAAACTCGAAATGGATCAAACACCTGAATGTAAGTCATGAAACCATAAAACTCTTAGAAGATAACATAAGCAAAAATCTCCTGAATATAAACATGAGCAACTTTTTTCTGAATGCATCTCCTCAAGCAAGGGAAACAAAAGCAAAAATGAACACATGGGACTACATCAAACTTAAAAGATTCTGTACAGCAAAGGACACCCATCAACAGAACAAAAAGGCATCCTACAGTATGGGAGAATATATTTGTAAACAACATATCCGACAAGGGGTTAACATCCAAAATATATAACGAACTCACACGCCTCAACACCCAAAAAGCAAATAACCCGATTAAAAAAATGGGCAGAGGATATGAACAGACAATTCTCCAAAGAGAGACATGAGAAGATGCTCCCCATCATTAATTATCAGGGAACTGCAAATAAAAACCACAGTGAGATCACCTCACACCAGTTAGGATGGCCAGTATCTAAAAGACTAAGAACAACAAATGGGGGTGAGGATGAGGAGAAGGGGAACCCTCCTACACTGCTGGTGGGAATGTAAACTAGTTCAACCATTGTGGAAAGCAATGTGGAGGTTCCTCAAAAAACTAAAAATAGAAATACCATTTGAGCCAGAATTCCACTCCTAGGAATTTACCCAAAGAATATAATTTCTCAGGTTCAAAAAGACATATGCACCCTATGTTTATCACAGCACTATTTACAATAGTCAAGATATGGAAGCAACCTAAGTGTCCATCAGTAGATGAATAGATGAAGTAGAGGTGGTACCTATACACAATGAAATACTATTCAGCCGTAAGAAAGAAACAAATCTTACCATTTGCAACAACATGGATGGAGCTGGAGGATATTATGCTCAGTGAAATAAGCCAGGCGGAGAAAGACAAGTACCAAATGATTTCCCTCATTTGTGGAGTATAACAAAGCAAAACTAGAAGGAGCAATACATCGACAGACTCAGACTCCAAGAAACGACTAGCGGTTACCAAAGGAGTGGGGTGGGGGAGGGTGGGTGGAGAAGGAGGGAGAAGGGGATTGAGGGGTATTATGATTGGCACACATGGTGTGGGGGGTCATGCGGAGAACTGTGTAGCACAGAGAAGGCACATAGTGGATCTGTGGCATCTTAGTACACTGATGGGCAGTGACTGCAGTGGGAACGGGGGGACACGACAATATGGGTGAATGTAGTAACCACATTGTTTTTCATGTGAAACCTTCATAAGAGTGTATATCAATAATACCTTAATTAAAAAATCATAAAAAAACACAGATAGCCCATAATCACATTTTAATTTCACTTATCCTAGTGTTATCTAGAGTGGAGCTTCTCAAACATGGTGGGATGTGGGGTTGCTGATAATCTAGTTCTAACAAGTTCTCAGGTGATGCCAGGTATGCTGGTCCATTGACCACACCTGAAGTAACAAGAATCACCTCTCCTTTAACAAAGATTTCTTATCACAGATGGTATACATCCTTCTTAATAGTCACACAGTAATGCATGGCTTTGAACATCCCTCCGTTTTTTTCATACAGACAGACATCTGTTTAAAGCAGTGTGCATTTGCATTAAGAGTGCATTCCTTCTTTCCCATGTGGAACTAATTAGTGGGGAGGTATGGACAAGTGCAGGTCAGTGATGATCATAAGAGATTCTGTGAACCAAATTTTTTCCAATGATTTCCTACTACCAACTCTCACATAAAAATGTAAAGGGAAAAATATTACTTCTCTGTCACTACATATTTTCAGTAGCTGTCAGCATGGAGCCATGTTGAGTGATCTTACCTATAATCCCTCTTCCTGCTTCCTGACCTTGGTTAGAGTTGTTTAATACCTTACAGTCTGCTAGGTCGGCCATAACAGAGTACCACAGACTGGGTGACTTAAGCAAGAGAAATGTATTTAGTCTCACAGTTCTGAAGGCTTGAAAGTCGAAAATAAAGATGTCAGTGGAGTTGGTGCCTTCTGAGGGCTGTGGAGGGATGGATCAATTCCAGGTCTTCAAAGACCCTATCTCCCAGTAAGGTCACATTCTGAGGTCCCAGAAGGTGGACATTCAACACAACGAGAACCGCAGGAAAGATGACACAATTCAACCCTTAATAAAAAAAAAAAAAAATCACACTATTTTATTTGCATGGGATTGCTGGGTAAGTACTTGGTTCATTTCTAAAATTCCAAGATTAAAGAATACTTACGGAAGCAATTAGCTTCCCTCTGTTTTCCAGGATTTTATGTGGTTCATCCATCAATCGATCTGCTTTTTAAAATTGGAATCTAATGAAGAAAATAGTTAATATGATCTACTGATACTTTATCTTGATTAAGTAAAAATGTGTTATCTTACTAAAATATGTCCCTTTTTCTTTGTAGGTTGGCGTTGTAAACGGTATGGTCACCGAACAGGTGACAAAGAATGTCCTTTCTTCATCAAAGGCAACCAAAAGTTAGAACAGTTCAGAGTAGTAAGTAGAACCCCAGAGTGTCATTTTACATTTACCAGAAATAGAGAGCATCAGTGAACCAGGCCATCACAAGTGAACTGTAGGTTCACATAAAATACATCCCTAGAAGCCTTTGGACCACAGTATCTGGTGTCAACTACATCTCCATTAAATCAAATTGTGTGACAGATTATTTCATTAACAAAAAACTAACTTATTAAAGTGTTATTTGCTTATTCCTTGGGCATACTGATTCTGTTTCTGAAGCAGACATTATCTATTCTAAAATCAGGGTTCTAGTTCTTCAGTCTTTGTGTATATAAATTATATATATCCCCTTTAGATGACAGTGAAATAATTAAGACATTTAAAATATTGTGCTTTCACTTTAATAATTTGAAGAAAATATTCTAGATAAATCACTTCTAGCTATACTACCAATTTTTATAGCTTCTATAATACACTTTGGTGATACATTTCAAAAATGTAAATGTAAATCCATATTGTTGAATTCAGAGACTAAATTCTAAGAATTGATCCTAAGGATATAACAGAACATCAGTATATGCAAATTTTTATGAGATGGGTAACTATCATATTGACATGGTTGGAGAATAGAAACTAAAGAAAACAGGAAACAATCTCAGTGGCCAACATAAATTACTGTAACATAGAAATCATATCACTTCTAATTATGTTGTAGAAGAATATATAATCATGGGAAGATGTTCACAAAAGAATAAAGTTGTATATATAGTATGATTATAATTTTTTGTAAATTATGAATTAATGACTAGAAGCATCACCCCAAATTGTTAGCACTGGATATACCTTGGTGGTAAGATAATGTATATTTTACTTTTTTCCTTTAGTATGTAAAATTTTTACAATAAACATTTTTAAAGATAATTCACACACCATAAAGCTCACTCTGTGTTCATATTTTTAAGTAATTTAAGTGATTTTAAATTCTACAGATATTACAAGAATACGTTTGCTTACTTTAACAAAATGAAAACAGTACAGTTAAGGTTTTTCACAATTGATTTTTCAAGTCCACTCTATCCTGTCTCCCCAGAGGGAATTTGTAGTAAGTAGCTTATTCAGTATATTTCCAGACTCTTTTTTGAGCATATACATGTTTTTGTGCACCTCTAAATGAATTATTCTTATGTATCATTTTCCAACTCACTTGTTTAGCTTAGTAATATCTCTTGATCATCTGTCCATATAGAACAAAGAGAATTACCTCAGTATTTCTAACCTTGAATAGTATTTAATGTTTCTACCATGGTTTTTTTCTTTATAAAGGTTATTCAAATTATATCCTATATTTGTAAAATTGGAAAATATTTTTTATAGCCTCCATGAGTTTGAAGTGATGGTGACTCTTAGGAACAATTAGAACATAAAATCATGCTAAAAGGGGAAAAAACTGGTTTCAGTGAAATAGCGATTTAGTCTTAATTTAACTAACAGTCTGTGAAGCCTAACCTAACTTTAATTTTCTCTAACCCTTAAGGCACATGAAGATCCTATGTATGACATCATAAGAGAGAATAAAAGACATGAAAAGGATATAAGGTAAAGTTGTCCTGATAACAATGTCCTTTTAAGTTTGAAGCTGAAAGTTAGAAACAACTGTTCCAGTATTGAATGATTGGCCTAGCAAATATGGAACTTTACTTGTGAAACATTTGGAGGGCAGAAGTAATAACTGAAAAGGTCAATGTGTGCGGAATGAGCAGGCCAGCCTGTTCTGCTTGGATTAATTTAAAGCAGTGGGCTTGGCCCAGCCTCGCCCACTCATGCCACTAATAGTTGATATTGTCCAATTTCATTAAAGATCTGAGCTTTTGTCAGAAGATTTTAGATAGGGTGAAAAAACAGAAGGGTTTGTTTTTCTCAAATTGGTGACACTGAGTTATAATTGTTGAGGAGGTAGATTATCTACTATGAACAGGGAGGGAATGATTCAGGAAAGTATGCATCTGTTAGAAGTTAAAATTGTAACGACTGTAGAAACATTTAGCACAATGAAAAGAACACAAAATGGCTTATACCCTGGTTACAGTCATGTAAAGTGGGCGTGGATATGGACAAGAATCGGGGAAACATGCACAAGTAAAAACAAGTACTGTCTTCAAGAAGGTGGTTATTTATGGCATTTTTTACCTTCATTACTGCTTTTATATATTTTTATCTGAAATTTTTTTCATTTAAATATGATTCTTTGGCCATTCTCACATGTTTAGGATACAACAGTTAAAACAGTTACTGGAGGATTCTACCTCAGATGAAGATGCGAGCAGCTCCAGTTCCTCAGAATGCAAAGAAAAACTTAAGAAAAAGAAGAAGAAAGAAAAGCAAAAGAAAAGGAAGAAAGAAAAGAAAAAGAAGAAAAAACGGAAGCATAAGTCTTGCAAGTCAAATGAGAGTTCGGACTCAGACTGATAGGACTTGACTTGTGTGGCATTCTCATCTCAGCAATCAAACACTGTGGCCAAAGAGCAGAGGCATGGGGGTCGGAGAAGAAAAGGAGGGACGCGCTGAGGACCTTTGGTGTGGGCCTGTGAGCTCTCACGTCTTCCAGCACAGATGTGACCCACAGGGGAGGGAGGGATCCTCCCAGGTGCCGGCTGTGCACAGGGGCTGATTTCAGGCAGGAGCGCCTTCGTCAGTGTCCTCCTGCCTGCTCATCTGCAGCTTGTGATTCCTTTGGAACGGCGCTGCCAAGGGTGGCTGGACAAAGGGAGTCTCTGGGGAGTTCCAGGCGCTGCCACAGCCATCACCCTCCTGACAGGCGGCTTGACTTCACTCCCAGACTTCAGCTTGGCCTTATCTCTTGTTAAAGGTAATAAAGGTTAGAGGTAATAAAAGCTCCTTATTATATTTATTTCAAAAAACATTCATTTAGTTTTGAATCATAACCTATTTACGTAGTCCAAACTTTAAAAGTACATGAGGTTCAGTCATGAAAACTCTTCTTCCTTTCTCCCTCAGCTACCCACTTCCCTTCCTCAATGTCTGCCAGTTTTAGCAGCTTCTTGTCACAAACAAATACAGGGCTTTTTTTACACAAATGCTATACATTCATCTACACACAGTTTTTTTTCATTTAACAGCATAAAATGTATTATTTTAATAAAAATACATTTGATGTTGCACTAAAAGGTGTTTTATTTTTATTGTGTAGTTGATATACTACATTGGTTTCAGATGTACAACATAGTGATTTAACAATTACATACGTTACAAAATGCTCATCACAGTAACTGTAGTAAATAGCTGTCACCAAAGATTTTACAATATTACTGACTTTATTTCCTATGCTGTACTTTTCATCCCTGTGTCTTATTTTATAATTGAAAGTTTGTACCTTATCTCCTTCACTTATTTTAACCATCCTTCCAACCGCTCCCCTATGACAACCACTGGTTTCTTCTCTGTGTTTATGAATCTGTTTTGTTTGCTTACTCATTTATTTTTTTAGATTCCACATATAAATGAAATCATATGGTATTTGTCTTGTCTGACTTATTTCATTAGCATAATACCCTCTAAGTCCATCCACAATGTCACAAATAGCAAGATTTAATTCTTTTTTTATGGCTAATATTCCATTGCATATAGATACCACATCATCTTTATCCACCATCTATCGATGGACACTTTGGTTTCTTCCATATCTTGGCTATTATAAATAATGTTGCCATAAACATAGAGGTGCATGTATCTTTTCGAATTAGTGGTTTTGTTTTCTTTGGGTAAATTCCCAGAAATGGAATCACTGGGTCATACGGTATTTCTATTTTAATTTTTTGAGAAACCCCCATACTGCTTTCCATAGTAGCTGCACCAATTTACATTCCCACCATTAGTGCACAACAGTTTCCTTTTCTCCATAACCTGACCAATACTTATTATCTCTTGTCTTTTTTGTACTATCTGTTCTGACTGGTATGAGGTGATATTGTGGTTTTGATTTGTATTTCCCTGATTAGTGATGTTGAGCATCTTTTCATGTGTTTCTTGGCCATCTGTATGACTTCTCTGAAAAAATGTCTATTCAGATCCTCTGCCCACTTTTTAATCGGATTTTTTTTTTGTTTTGGTGTTGGATGAGTTCTTTATATATTTTGAGTTTTAACCTCTTATTGGGCATATCACTAGGGAATATATTCTCCCATTCAGTAGTGGTTGCCTTTTCATTTCAATGGTTTCCTTCACTGTGCAGAAGTTTTTTAGTTTGATGTAGTCATTCAGTTTATTTTTGCTTTTATTTCCCTTGCTTGAAGAGACATATCCAGAAAAAAAAGTACTAATGCTAATTTTTAAGAGTTTACTGCATGTTTCCTGCTAGCAGTTTTACGGTTTCAGGTCTTATATTTAAGCTTTTAATGCATTTTGAGTTTATTTCTGGGTATGGTGTAAGACAGTGGTCCAGTTTCCTTCTTCAGCATTTAGCTGTACAGATTTCTCAATACCATTTATTGAAGAGACTATCTTTTTCTCATCGCGTGTTCCTGCCTTAAAAGGTGTTTATAATCACCTGAGATGATTTGCTGCTGGTGGGGAGGAGTTCCTACAATAATGTAAAACCTTGTGTGGCTACATTGTATTTAATTTTATTGCATCTTACTGCCTGAGTCCCAAGATTTTCTCAGAGTAATTGGAAAAATTTTAAGAATATAGGAGAATTACTATACTGAGTCAGCTACCCACATCCCAAAATCATCCCTCACTTCTTTCATCTTCCTGTTGTCTACCTAAGCAGAGCCCATCTGTGCTTTTCTATCTTTGACTGTGCAGCCATAGAAGCAGCTCAGCCCTTCTGGGTGGTGCCTACAGCCTGGGGGATAAGTCTTGTTCTTTGCTGAGCCATACTGGAGCTAGATCTTGCTCACAGGTAAGTGTCCCTCCTATCCA